TGTGGGCTTACAAGAGGCAGAGCTCGTCCCTGCCTCACTTCTCATCGCGCCCCGTAGTTGTAGCGGAGCTCGGCCAATTTGCTGATTTTGACTATAAAAAGCGATTGGAATCAAACAGAAATCACATTTACAAAACAGATCAGTGGAGACATTTTATTATTATTACTATTTAGTTTTTCTTTAGTTGTTTTTCCGTTACATTGTAGTATGACAGGTGAGGCTCTGCCTCCCCTGCCTCCCCTGACTGCACGTCGCTGGTACTAAGTAAATACATTTGTTCCTGCTCAAGATTAGATTCAACTTTATTGTTATTGCACAGATTACAGGTACTGAGACAACGAAATGCAGTTTAGCTTCTAACCAGGAGTGCAAAAAGCAGTAAAGTGAAAAGTAATGTACACAATCTACAGAATAAAATATAGAATGAATTGAATGATGAATAAACAGTGAGGGGTATGAATACACTAGATATACACACAGTAGCCTATGAGCAGTATGAACAGTATTAACAGTGTGTATGAATATGCTAAGATATATAAAGTATGAAAACGGTAAGCAGTGCAAATATAGTATAAAATATATAGATATTAATTTCACGATGATAAACATTGTGGAACAATGATGAAAAATGTGAATGGAAGTGGCGACGTAAAACTGACACAAAACAACAACAAACTTTTGCCAATTGGAGAGTTTCATCACCAGCACGGGGTAAAACCCACCAAGAGCCGCTTTCACACCAAGTACTTTGCCGTACTTAGTGCCCAGCTCTTAGTGCCAGCATTTAGTACCCCCATGGAACTAAGTACAGATCGCGTTCACACCGGAATAAGTTCCCTGGGGGAAGATTACGCAAATGAAGCTGCTGACGTCACTTCTTCTTCTTCTGCTTTGGGTTTACTGGCAGGCCGCAAACCACTTCACGGTGTATACTGCCATCCGAAGTTCCCGGCCGGAAGTCCCCGGAGTTGGGGACTGGCTTCAGTAGAAGCTGCTGGGACTCCCAGCAGCTTCCGTTGGTGCGTGGGGCTAATGTTAATGCTAATAATGCTAATGCCAGCAAATACAATGGCGGCTTCACAAAACTTTTCAGAGTTTTGCGGGGCGTGGTTTGCAATTCGCCCAGCCAATCGAAATTGGTACTTTTTTCTCCCCAGGATAGTACCACCTCTCTAGCAGGCACTAAAAATGGGGGTAAAAGTTCTCGGAACTAAGTACTCTTTTTGGTGTGAACGCAACATTCCAGGCACTAACGGAACTAAACTGGAAAAGTATGGGTAAAAGTACTCCGGTGTGAACGCGCCTAATGAGCGCTCAGCTCGATATACCAGCGAGTCGTTTCCCATCAAGCATTTCGCTTCTGCAGCTCGTGGAGAGAAACTGCTCCGCCTCGCTCTCAAGGCTGCCGGCGTCTTTGTCCCGCGAGATTTCAACGTCTCATGTAGTCGAGCCTCCAGAGCAAGTCGGACAAAATGACTAACCATCATGCAACGCACTAGCAAGACGGCGATCGCAATTGCGCAGGTCTGCGTCGGTCTCGCTCATCTCAAACAAGCCTAATGTCTCTCAGCCACCGTAGTGTCGTGTCAGATGGGCGTGTCGTGTAAGGGGCGTGTTGTGTACCGTCTTGCTGCTGCGGTTGCAGCTGGATACTGTTGGCCAAACTAAGCCCCGAGGAAGTGCGCCGGACTCTGTGCCCAACATTCGTTGTGTCGAAACGGCAGTACTGCAACTCCCGTATCAGTCCGTGACGTCACCCGGCCCAAAACACACAGTACAGAGACGGCCATGGTTAAAATCACAAACGATCTCCTAGTAGCAGCTGACTCTGGGCTCTTATCGATACTCATCCTCCTTGACCTGACTGCAGCCTTTGACACCATCTCACACCAAATCCTCCTTGACAGATTATCTTCCATTGGTATCACTGGCACATCCCACACCTGGTTTAGATCTTTCCTCTCCGGCCGTACTCACTTTGTCCAACTCAAACACTTCAAATCACAGTCCCATCCAGTCTTCACTGGTGTTCCTCAGGGTTCTGTCTTGGGCCCCATCCTATTTATCATCTACCTCCTACCTCTCGGCCATATCTTCAGAAAATACGCAATCCAATTTCACTGCTACGCGGATGACACCCAGCTCTATTTTTCCACCAAACCCACTTCCACTCTCCCCCCCACTGCCCTTTCCGACTGCTTACTGGAAATCAAATCCTGGTTCTCATCCAACTTCTTAAAACTCAACAGTGATAAAACCGAGTTTCTCCTAGTTGGCTCCAAGTCCACTCTGGCTAAAACTGACAAATTCTTCCTCACTATTGACAATTCCACAGTCTCACCCTCCCCCCAAGTTAAGAGTCTGGGTGTCATCCTTGACAGCACCTTATCATTTGAAGCTCACATCAACAACATCACTCGATCTGCCTACTTCCACCTCCGCAATATTAACCGCCTCCGCCCGTCACTCACACCCAACAGCACCGCCATCCTCGTCCACGCCCTCGTTACGTCCCGTATCGATTATTGCAACTCCATCCTCTCTGGTCTTCCTCAGAAATCCCTACGTAAGCTCCAACAGGTCCAAAACTCAGCCGCCCGTATCATCACCAGAACTGCTTTCATTAATCATATCACTCCGGTTCTCCAACAACTCCTTTGGCTCCCCGTTAAGCACCGCATAGACTTCAAAGTGTTGCTCCTCACCTTCAAGGCCCTTCACACTCTTGCCCCTCCATATCTCTCTGAGCTCCTTCACATCTACACTCCCTCTCGTACTCTCCGATCCTCCTCTGCCTTCCAACTCACTGTACCTTCTGCCCGCCTGATCACCATGGGGTCACGAGCCTTCAGCCACTCTGCCCCCCGTCTCTGGAACTCTCTCCCACAAGACATCCGCAATATGGACTCCCTCCCACCCTTCAAATCCAGCCTGAAAACACACCTTTTTAAACTGGCGTATTCTATTTCTTAATCTCTGCTAAACTGATTGTTGTTTTTAAGTCTCTGTTTTTTGAAGTCTCTGTTATTTAAGTATTTTTTTAAGTCTTGTATTACTGTGTGCTCTTCTTTGTTGATTGTTTTTAATTATGCTCTGTAAGGTGTCCTTGAGAGCTTTGAAAGGCGCCCATAAATAAAATGCATTATTATTATTATTATTATTATTATAAAACAACTTTTTCCCATTGACTAACATGGGGAAAGAGACGTCTGTAAATCGGTGGATACTTTTTTTGTAACTAAATAAACTACCCAGTATTAACTATTTTATAGCCCTTCTTAGAATCATGAGGTCCTTAAAGTTGTAAAATGCACTAAAAGCCGAATCTAGATTTATTTTCTCTCTCCATCCATTCTAGTGAGCCGAGAGTGGGAGCTCGGGGGGCGGGGCTTAAGGGGCGCATGCTCTGTGAGCGCACATACGGGTTCTTCTGCTCTGGCAGCCAGGCATGACGGGTAATCTGTGACGTTTCGCTCTCTCAAAAGTTGGGCCATTTTGAGACCCCGCCTCCCACGCTGTATCCAGTTATTATAGAGAGGCGAAGTCCCGCCCATCTACTTCCGACCCATGGGACCTTATTTCGGAAAAATTATGTATTGAAGTCAATGAGGAGAGAAAATGTATCTTTTGATCCCGTTTGAATTGTGCCATGAATTACACATATGATGTTTGTCTTTTCAACTTCATGCTATCTGCACAAATGGTTGACATTGAACATTAAAAAGATCAAGCAGTTCATGGAGAATCGAAGGCAGGCAGGCAGCTTTTCATGACATTCTTCTGGACGTGTTTCATTGTGGTGATAGTAAGGGTAGTCAATCCCTTTTTTGGCAAGACAGTAGTGACGGCCATCTTGGTGACGTGTGTTGTTGTGCGAGACCAGAGATGTAGTTCATTGAGCGGTTTCACACAAAAAAAGTCTTACTTTACAGTTTAACAGCAAAACATTTTTCTTTTACTGGCAAAATTATCTTTTAAATTGACAAACATCATAATGTGTAATTCGTGGCACAATTAAAAAAAGAAAGATAACTTTTCTCTCGCCATTGACTTAATAATAATCATTTTTCCGAAATGAGGTCCCATGGAGGTCCACCGGAAAGGGAGGGACTTCGCCTCTCTATTATACATCCATGGGCAAAACCCACACCCCATACATTCCGGTGCATGTTTTCTTCTTCTACTTCTTATTTAATTGGCATTTGTGAGCAACGACTTATTGATTTACCGCCCCCTACTGAGCTGAAGATGCAGACGTCTATTGCCAGTAAAAAATTATTTGAAAAAAGAAAGGAAGTGGGTTGCTCAGCCTGCCTTTGTGTCCACTTGTATTAATGGACATTAATCCACATTTGTGTGTAGGCTTGGTGAGTAACAGATTACAATGCTACGTAATTACCAGTGGTGTAAAGTAACTAAGTACATTTACACAAGTACTAGAAAAAGCGTTAAAAAAAACTACTTTGACTTAAGTTGAGTATTTTCAAAGTTTGCTACTTTATACTTTTACTCCACTACATTTTGTAGGCGAATGTTGTACTTTCTACTCACTACATTTATTTAGTTAGTTACTAGTTGCTTCGAAGATTTAGATAATACAAAATATAAATGTACTAATACATTATTATAGGTTAAGCTAGTCAGCGTGTGTGTATAAAATAATTCAAATAAACCCCACCTTTTCCAAGTGAAAGTTATGAACAAATATATATATTAATAATGATTATACATTCATTTAAATTATGTGGTGCTTATTTGTGCCATTCTGAATGATGAGTACTTTTCCTTCTAAGTACATGTTGATGCTTATACTCGTGTACTTTTACTTAAGTACAATTTTGAATGCAGGACTTTTACAAGTAAATGAGTAATTTCACACTGTGGTATTGCTTCCTTTACTGTAGTAAAGTATCTGAGTAATCCCTCCACCCCTGCTAATAACATCATCAAATGTAAAATATAAACTGTATTCTCATACAGTTGTAGAAAATAAGACGTAATCACATTCCTCGTTCATTTTTTATTTTTCTCTTAAAGACAAAACAATGAGCAGAAGATACCTTTTTTGTTTTCCAGATATCTTTGTTTATTCTTTTCTAAAGTATAGGATTTCTGTCGTCTTACATACACTTAAAGGTGGGGTAGGTCATTTTGGAGAAACCAGCTTGAGTGCGCTAGAATTTGAAAATACACAGCCGGAAAACATCTGCCACTTCCTTACAGAGCCCCTCCTCCAACACACACGAACGCGCACATGACCAATGAGGGCACGAGATAAGTTTGTGCACAGATGGAAGGCTGACAGGCAGGTAGGCCATCCAGTTATTTTAGGCGGGCCGGCTCAGATGATTGGTCGTGCTTTTTACAGTACTACGGCTTCCACAGATGACATTTTTTATGGATTTTTTGTCAAAGCACTTGAGATATTCATTGCTATCGAGATGTTAAGAGCATCTGTGTATCTCGAGCCAGTTTCTCAAAGTTACCTACCCCACCTTTAAGTGTACTCCATCTTATTGATATTATTGTGTTCTTGTATTTATTGGCATAAAAAGCGCATTTTGCATGATAGGAGACCTTTAAAGGCTGTTAACCTGTGTGAGTATGACAGTGCAACTCTGACAAATGTGTGTTGTTTGCAGTGTTATATTGAATTTTGTGACGTTGATTCTGTTGTTTTGGCTCTAGTTGACTGTAGCCCTTTCTCAATTGTCACATTTCTGCCTCCTCGACTCCTCGGTCCTCCGGTAGTGACCCGGAAATCAATTTTAACGCGCCATGATGAAAGACATCTAATTTCTCTAAATGCACATCGAGGATCGAGGATCGAGCATCAAGGAAGCTCTCTGGAGGGGCTATGACCGTGGATACACTGATGTATCCTCTGCGGATGTATTTCCGGCAACAGTAATGTTTAAAAGAGGCGTGATGCACGGCTGGACCGATCTCAACCAATGACATCTCTGCAAACTGTCTCTCCCCTGGATATAAGGCTACTTTTTTTGTTTTATTAACTGCTTCAATCGTGATGCGATGTTTACAGTGAGAACAGCTGCTGAGGTCACTGCAGAAAGCAGAGCAGTGTGTCTTGGCTCGGCATGTCTATTTGATCCTGAGTCTTGCTTGCCTTCTTTCTGATCTTGGCTCTCAGCTACATGACTGGTGCACAGCTCCTCCTGCTCCTCTTCAATCAGTGGAGGCTCTGTGCAGCAGGGATTCAACTTTTCCCCTGTGTGTGTTTCTGTGTGGCTTCCCAAGTTACTACTGAATATGGCATTTTTACCAGAGATGATGCAAGAATGCGGATCCTCCCCTGTGCGGCTTCTCATGTGGACTCTCAATTATACATCATATCGGACACATTTCCCACATCTTTTGCAAGAAAACGTCTTCCACCCATGTGGAATTTCATAATATGCCTTTTAAATGTTGATGTTCGACAGAATCGTTTCCCACACGTTTGGCACAGAAATGGCTTCTCCCCTGTGTGAATTCTAATATGCTGTTTCAAGTGGCTTTTATGTCTGAAAGCTCTCCCACATGTATTGCAAGGAAATGGCCTCTCACCCGTGTGAAATCTGAGGTGCGTCTTCAGTGACGAGTTATTTTGAAAGTCTTTTCCACATAAGTCACAATTGAAAGGCTGTTTACCTGTGTGCATCTCTGACAAATTAATGTTGTTTCCTTCATAACTGGTATTTCTGTGATATTCATTCTGTGGTTTTGGCTCTGCATGTCCAGTTGATCCTGAGTCTTGCTCGCCTCCTTCCTGATCTTGGCTCTCAGCTACATGAGAGTTGTGAGAGAGGAGCTGGTGCTCACTTGCCTCCTCGGTAGCAGTCAACATGAAGGCATCAGTGTCCTGCTCCAGTCCAAGCTGCTCTCCCTCCGGACTGGTGCACAGCTCCTCCTGCTCCTCTTTAATCTGTGGAGGCTCTGGGTCCTCTGGGTCCTCTTGGTCCAGACTGGAGTTCCTCTCCTGAATACAGAGCTGCTGCTCAGAGAGAACCTGCTCCTCACAGACAGGATGCTGTGGGAGCTCTGGAGGGACAGAGAACAAATAAAATAGGATAATGCTGTACACATAACGGAACTTGAGGACATGCAACGTTGACAATTCCTTTGTTTTCTGCTATTAAAGTGAGTAAGTGTTACACACCTATCCTTTGTATTTGTATATCCGGTTTCAAAACGACATCCAGCAGTCTGCGCTGCCGTCTGATCTCCTCCTCATATTCGACGATGGTTTTCTGAAAAACTCTGAATATTTCTTCAGCAGCAGCAGAGAGTCGCTCGTTAACAAACTCTCTCAAAAACTCAACCGAAGACATTGTTGCCTAAATATAGTGTATTTCCCCCAAAACTACTATAACATCGTATCTTAGTTCACTCATGAATCGATAGCGCCGAACCAACTGTAACAGAGCGTGGTTTGTTTACTTCCGGTGCGTGTTTTCTTCTTCTACTTATTTTTGATTGTCATTTGTGAGCAACGAGTTAGTGATTTACCGCCCCGTACTGGGCTGGAGAAGCATAAGGCTATTGCCAGTAAAACATCATTTGAAAAAAGAAAGAAAATGGGTTGCTCACCCTCGCCTTCGTGTCCACTTGTATTAATGGACATTAATCCAAATGAGTGTGTAGGCTTGGGGAGGGGTCAGTGTATGTTTTGGTCATTGGATTTTCTTTTCACAAATGGATATTCAAAAACAAAAAACGACTGGATATTTGATTTTCGTTTTCGAATTGAAAAACCAAAATTGAAATACAAGGTGTTTTTCTTGATCATGGTCAAAAATGGATTTACTAAACTTAAAAAACGGGATGATTTTCATTTTTTACTTCTCAAAACAAAAAATAAAATCACTAGAAAACAGAAAAGAAAAAAAACCCCGTTTTTTCATATTCTGCTACCGGAAGTTGTCTTTCAAAATAAGAGCGCAGATGAGGACGGTCAATCCGTGTATCTACGGTCCATTTGTTTTCACAACAAAAACAGTCAAGACAGATATTGAGCGCAGAAAATGAATGTTATTAAGGGCTATAAATATAATAGGCCTATGTGGCCTATGGACCTACAAAAGACTTTCGACACTGTCAATCACCCCATTCTGATTGACAAGCTAAAAGCAATTGGTTTTGATAAACTATCGGTGAGCTGGATGCAATCCTACCTGGAGGGGAGAGAACAGATGGTGGAGGTAAACGGTACTCTGTCCCCCCCCCCTCCCAGTGAGCTGTGGTGTTCCACAAGGAAGCATATTAGGTCCGTTACTGTTCCTAATTTATGTAAATGACATGTCATCAGCATGTGACTGCAACTTGTTCCTGTTCGCGGACGACTCAGCCCTGCTGGTCTCTGACAGGAACAGGTTGCAGGTTGAAAAAACCCTCAGCTCCGAGCTCGGCAGAATCTGCACCTGGCTCGCCGATAATAAATTATCATTACACCTGGGTAAAACAGAGTCCATTCTCTTCGGTTCGAAACATAATCTCAGCAAATCCGACGACTTCTCAGTTGCAGTGGGCGACATTATTGTCACAAGTAAGAAGGAAATTACATACCTAGGATCTATTCTTGAGGCAAACCTCTCCTGTGACAAAATGGCATCCAATGTAATAAAAAAAGTCAATCAAAGAACTAGATTCCTATACCGGATCTCCTCTCTGGTAAACAAAAACACCCTGAAAACTCTGGCAGGAGCACTCATTCAAGGGTACTATGACTATGCTTGCACGTCATGGTACCATAGCACCTCCAAGGCGCTAAAAATAAAACTTCAAACATCGCAAAATAAACTGGTCAGACTACTGCTTGACCTTTCATCTAGAACCCACCTCACCTCTGCCCACTTTGACAACCTAGGATGGCTTAGAGTAGACGACAGAGTACAGCTACTTGCAATGGGCCTGGTCTACAAGATCCACTACACCTCTATGGTACCCATGTACATGTCAAAATTCTTCCCAAAGGTCAAGGAATACCATGATCATAACACCAGAGGGAGCTCCACAAATCATGTGAAACCCAGATTTGGCACAAAAAAGGGGGAATACACGTTTCGCAATTATGCCACATCAAGGTGGAACGCTCTTCCCACAACTGTAAAGGAAAGTAAAACTATACTTACCTTCAAAACCTCTCTTAAAGAGCACCTTCGGGGGAGAGCATTGCAAAACTGGCCCCGGTAATGGTACAAATCTCAACCTGTCGTTCAATGGACAGCTTCCCCCCCCCCCCCCCCCCCCCCCATCTATGTATATACTCGCATTTTAGACTCTGTTACTAACTGTATATCTGTAGACTTGGTATGTCTTAAATGTCCGGTTAGGATGTATTAGAACAAAATCTAAAATGAAAATTGTAAACAAGCAATCTGTATGTAAAAAAAACCACCTGTATGTAAATTGTAAATAAGCCATCTGTATGTCAAATATGTCTTATATGTCTTAAATGACATGATGAATTGGAAATGGGGGACCCTGATGTAAACAAGACGAAAGTCTTTCTCTGGTCTGCATCCCCTTAACAATTGTATGTTTTGAGCTGTACTGTACTGTACCCAATATACAAGCTGTTAATAAACTTTTCAATCAATCAATCAAACATGTCTAAAATGGACAACATTGTTAGGAGATTTAAACTATACAGCGATTCTGTACTGAATCGCGATTCTGTACTGAAAGAGTCAGCCGTCTCTCGAGTTTGTTATAATTTTTTCTGCCATTAGTTCTTCGTGAGATCGATCCTGTTGGACTCAGTAGGCTAGTAGTGAAACTACTCCCACAAGTAGCCTACTATGAAGTAGCCTAGTACTTACTGTGTACTTTTTGACTAATCTTCTGTCAATGTCTCCTCCTGAGAACCAGAATGCATGTTTCTCTGCTATTTTGAATCAACGTTAAAAAACCTTTCTTCATGAGACTGATATTGTTGGACTGAGTATTTTAAGAGGATATCAGCAATACTTCCAGTCAGTAGTCCGGCAGAAGCATTTTTACCCCTTGGAAAGTCTTGCTCGCTATTTAAATTGACTTTGATTGAAGTTAATAACAATATTGATATTCTATAGATATATAGATATAGCATATTTGATGCAGTCTTTCTGAACACTTTTAAAATAAAATACTGCAAATGAGGAATATTTGTAATTTTCTGCACAAATTTGAAAACACGTGGCAGCTTTATTAATACAGCAGTTGAAAAGATGTGTGGAAGAATACATTCTTCATGGGCTTCAGTGGCTCTCTAGATAAAGGGCGTGGTTGTTTGTATTATCCTCAGATAGGGGTTTGTTTAAATAACTAGTGACATTTTAATAAATATTGCAAAAAAGGGCTCCAAAAAAGGCATATATCCTTAGCCAGTGTGTATTTTTTCAAGCACCACAAGATTCATAGTTTATAAAGTGCAATTCTGGGCCATTGATTGTGTCATTTCTCCAAACACATACAGTAGAAATGCCTGTTTTGAAGCCTTAAAATGGTGCAGGACTTTACATTGGGTTATACTTAAAGACAGAACTATTCAGTTAAGAGAAGAGAAAAAAGGAAAGAAAACTGTTATAATGGGTGATGTAACATGAATGACAGACATAATATGAGGTCCTTGGCCCACATTGTGTGATCATGGGGCATCACCCTTACAGCATCAGGACAATATCATATGGACACTGGAAGTGTGCTGGAGGCGTTGACTGGGACTGATGGAAGGATGAGGCTGATGAGACTGAAGAATCTGTGAGGAACGAATTAGCGGCTGAGAAATAGTTATATATTAAAAGACACCAGCATCATAAGAGGCCAACCAGAGTGTGTCAGTGTGCTGAAGGATATTTGTGACCAGCTATCCAGGCCAGACTCTAAAGAAGTTCCAAGGTGTAAAAATGCTGCTGCCGGAGTACTAACTGGAAGTATTGCTGATATCATGTCTGTCATCCTCTTAAAATACTCTGTCCAACAATATCAGTCTCAGGAAGAAATGTTTTTTAACGCTTATTAAAAGAAAAACATAGTCGGGAGGGGACATTGACAGAGGATTACTGGAAAAGTACACAGTAAGTACTTCATAGTACTTGTGGGGGTAGTTTCAGTAGTACTGAGTCCAACAGGATCAATCTCACGAAGAATTAATGGCAATAAAAATAATTCCCTCATCAAACTTAGCAGAAGTGGCTTGATTTTGTTCTCAGCAGGGGACTTTGACAGAGGATTTCTCAAAAAGTACACAGTAAAATTACTTCAATGTATTGTTAGTAGTAGGCTAACTAATACAAAGTCAAACAGTATCAATTTCATTCAGTGTTATATCAGAATGTTTAATACAGCCTATTTCTGATATTCATTAAAGATCACATGGCATTCCATATAATGTGTGTTATTGAGTTGGGTCACACACAGTTAGATAGACAATGGTCGTTCTGAATTATCAATAGATGTATTCATTTTAAGTGAGCTGACATTGAGGTTAGAGGAAGTTCAGAGAAGGCCTCAGGTTATAAAAAACAGTACACCTTTTTGTTTGTTAACTACTAAAGATGTCAACGATGACGTTTAAACATATACAAGTAGAGCTTTCAGAGAGATAAACATGGGGCATTTGTGTGGTAGGCTGCATGATAAAATGTGTGTGCGTTAAACATGCTTAGGGAAAAAGTGTGTGTGTTCATTACAGTGGCTATATATAGATGAGAGTAACACCTACGTCACTTCCGGGCAAAAATTACGGCCCCGCCCACTTTTTGGGGAAAACAACGCTGTCATTTGAATGGCGGTCAATACAAATTCTGAAGTTTTTGCCAATCCGATCAAATTTTTTGGAAAACCGTGGATTTTGGGATCTTCAAAGAGCCCGATTACGATGGCCAGTCAGGCAAACAATTACATTCGATCATTGGTAATCGACAATCGGTCTTGATATATGGTTAAATTAAAATCAGTAGGCGAGGCTGTAATTTCTCCAGCTGTTACTCTCATGAGCAAGGCGGAACATAATAGTTTTATCATGCCAAAAAGCTGCTGTGTCGTTTATTGCACCTCAAACATTAAAAATAATCAAGAGTTCAGTGTTTCTGTACTTCCTCTAAGAACAAAGGACAGTAGCAGAAGAGCTCTGTGGCTTCAGGCTCGATCGCCATTCAAATGACAGCGTTGTTTCCTCCAAAAGTGGGCGGGGCCGTAAAGTGACGTAGATGTTACTCTCATCTATGAAAATCGATAGCCTACTGCTATATTTAACCATATATCGAGCCCGATCGTCGATTTATAATGGCTTAATGCAATTGTTTGCCCGTCTGGCCATTGGAATCGGGCTCTTTGAAGATCCAAAAATCTCCGGTTTCCTTAAATTTCTGATCGGATTGGCAAAAACTTCAAAATTTGTATTGACCGCCATGCAAATGACAGCGTTGTTTTTCCCCAAAAGTGGGCGGAGCCGTTATTTTTGCCCGGAAGTGACGCATTTGTTACTCTCATCTATATGCTGTATGATTGTTGCACTGCACTGTAAACCCGAATGTTCAAAATAATTAAATAGATTAATTAGTGTAAACTTAAAGGAAAAAAAAAGTTCTACTAACTTCAATATATTCAGTTCCTGTGACTGTTCTTCCTTTTTGAGTTAAGTTAACTGATAATCTTTGATTAACTTGAACTATTTG